CTAAAAAGTGCCTAATCAGAAAATAAGTACATTAACCACTAATCAAAAGAAACAGAAAAAATATCATCTCGTTTGCGATTTAAAGAGTACTCACCTCCCTCTTCCCAATATTTATTTACAATTGAGAGGTTAATAGGTCAAAACAGATCAGCTCAACAGAACCAAAATACAAAGCACTAGATGTAACCTTTTCTTCTTCTTTTTTATTTATCCCTTTTTAAGTACAATCGATAAAGTATTTCAACTGTTTTACTTTTTCTGTAATAAGTAGCATTATATTAATGTTTTAGTGACAAACGTTTAATCACTAAATGCAGGTAGGAAATATGTTTTTTCTTTAAGAACCATAACTGCAGAACACCAGCAACAACTAAAATTTCCAGGCCATGGCAGATGGATGCAACTGGTTTCCTGGCTTCCATAAATTGTTTCACTAGTACAATAACATCCTCATTTAGTGCCAAAAACTCTGGAGCTTTACCTCCAGGGAGTACACATATGTATATCCTCTTCCACAAAAATCCCCCCTGACGAAACCACACGAGCCTTAATCCCTGGGTATCCAGTACATTTCTTCCCCTGAAATATAGCCAATTAATCCAATTATGACATGCTCAAATTTGCAACTAAATTTTTTCAATTTCAGGTTTCAGACTTTCAGTCAATCGTAAAGTTCCAAAAATGGGCCTAGGCGGGTGGCTAGGCGGCTAGGCGGGCGCTAGGCGGCTAGGCGAGAGCTAGGCGGCTGGGCGGGCCTCCTAGGCGGGTTGGGTCTTTTTTGGGTGCTGAACCCGGAGGACGAAGCAGCCGAAACCGAAGAAATCGAAGCTTGAGTTGACGGAGAAGCGAAATGGCTGTGACTGAGATCTTTCCTCTGCAAGCGAGGTGCAAGCTTCGTGTTCGTTTCGAATATATTTAAAGGGTATAGCCGAACGGCTACACTCTTAAAATATTCGAATATATTAGTATTCAAAGGGTATAGCCGAACGGCTATACTGTTAAAATATTTGAATGTATTTAGAAAGTACAGCCGGCCGGCTATACTCTTTAAATATACAATTTTATTATATCATTTTAGGGTTTAGGGCTAAAATACCATTGTAGCTCATTGGTCTACAGTTATTTCTTCAATTATTTTTTTTTTATACAAGTGATATTGGGAAATGAGAATTTAAATTCTTTTCGATACCTTCCATTCAAATATGTAAAATGTTGCTACTGGGGTGTGGATGAGGAGGGTGAGGGTGAGCTAGCCATCAGAAGGGAATCTGCATGGTTCAATTCCCCAAGTCTTCTCCACGTAGTCTTTGATTGTTCTGTCACTGCTAAATCTCCCCGACCCGGCTGTGCTAAGGATGCTCATCTGAGTCAACTTATTTGGATCTGCTAATGCTTTATCAGCAGCAGCCTGTAGTCATATAGATTCAAATCCCATGCACCATAGTAAGTTATACAACACCAAAGATCTTTTGGATCCGCTTCCACGAACATCTATTGGGTGTGAAATCAGGGAAACCCCTAGAAAACAACTAAACCCCGCACATGAGTCGAGGCCTAGCAAGACCAAGTAAATCATCCATCAATAGAGAGCTAACCCAGACAAGGGCCTCATCAAAGAAGCAAATTCCCAAGTCCATATTATAACTCCAGTTTGCCAAACAATCCGCAACACAATTCTTTTCCCTGTAAATGTGGACAAGGTGACAATTTCCAATTTGTCTCATGAGATCACAACAACTATGCACCAAAGCAGCAAGAGGATGGCATTGCAATGAATTGATTTGTTGAACAAGTGAGACAGCAACAGCAGCATCCATTTCAATAGCAAGGTTAGTGATACCTTTCTCAACAGCAAGCTTTAGACCAAAACATAGGCCCCAAACCTCAGCCTCCAGGATATGACCTTGGCCCAAATTCACAGCAAACCTGGCAATCCAGTCACCTGAGGAGTCACGGATAACACCTCCTGCTCCAATAATATTAGTGGCAGCCCTTCTAGAACCATCCACATTTACCCTAAACCACACGAGCCTTAATCCCTGGGTATCCAGTGCATTTCTTCCCTTGAAATATAGCCAATTAATCCAATTATGACATGCTCAAATTTGCAGCTAAATTTTTTCCCTATTTTAAACTTACAAGAAAGCCCGAGGCTGCTCGTAGAGGTATTCTTCTGCCACAACCACAGAATTCGAAGTTGCATTTCCTCTTGCATATATTCTATTATTCAATTAGCTCCTGCTCTAACCATGTTTACATATATATAAACAACAACAAAATTGCTCGTACGTGGCTTCAATTGTTTAAATTTACTCATTTTTAGGTGATATATTGGGTGCAGCCGAGTTGCAAGGACCATTGAATTACAAATATAATGATTTGGGGACATCTACAGGGTAAATTATATGCTAAAGAGCTCTAAAATAACGTTCATCACCGGAATCTCATTCGTCTTCTTGGATGTTGTAGCAAAGGACCGGAATTGCTTCTCATATATGAATACATGGCAAACGACAGCCTCAACAAATTCATATTTGGTAATAATTTTAGGCTTTTCAGCTCAGCTACCTCTAAATGCATGCTTACATATACATTTTATTGTTTTATTTCTTCATTTAAAGATTTTTTTTTTTTCCTTCTTCCATGGGAAATAGGTCCAAAAAGAGGCTCTCTCTCAACTAGACACAACTAAATGACATCATCCTGGGTACAGCTAGGGGTCTTGCCTATTTACATGAGGAGTTTCATGTATGCATCATACATAGAGATATAAAAACCAGCAATATTCTTTTGGATGATAGTTTCCAGCCAAAAATTGCAGATTTTGGTCTGGCAAGGCTTCTACCAGATGATCAGACTCATCTTAGTTTCGAGCCAATCACCATATCCAAGTTTGATACGTTTTTTGTTGTCTAAATTATTGGAGGAAGATTCAAACTTGAGTTTCTTCTCTTCACGGACCAAGTGAGTCTGAATTATTGGACCATGATTGAAACTTGACTAAAAGTCATTATGTAATGCCGAAAATCATTCACATTCTATTTGAAGAATTAAAACTATTACAAGAGTTTTTTTCCCAAAAGAAGAAAAACACAACCAGTCAAATACTTAATGTCTGAAAATTGATCTTCTTGAATTTTTAGAAGAGAAATCATCAATCAAATGTTCATAATCAAGTTTTTCTAGAAGTTCACTTCCAATTAAAATGTTCATAATTATTTAAAATTTGTTGTTATAATACAAAAATAATAATAATAACGGGTCAATGAGGCTCGAACACGAGCCCTTCTATTAGGAAATATGCACTACAAAGCCAACTACACCACACACATTTTTGTGATAATATGCAGTACGCTAAAATATATATACCATCTCTATAATATTAATATATAATGTTAGGGAGTTACACCAGTAACCCCCCAATCAATGACACCCATTCAATATAATCTGTCACAGCTTTCAGTTATAGAATTAACTCTGTAATTTACTCTGTAATTAGTATAGGACTGTTACCCGAGCAATACCTGTATAAATATTGTATTCCTGTATAGTTCAATATTATTGGAATATAAGCCTTTTCTACATGGTATCAGAGCAATAGCCTTCATCCAATTCTTATTTCTTCTTTTCCAGTTTCTGCCTTCTATTCTTCATTAGTTTCCCTCTCTTTTCCATGGCATCTTCATCTTCCTCTCACTCTTCGACCCCTAATATTGCTACTCTTGTCTCCATCAAGCTCAATGAAACCAATTATCTTCTATGGGAAAGCCAAGTTAAACCTTTTCTAATTGGCCAAAATCTTTGGCGTTTTGTTGATGGCTCTCATCTTTGTCCTGCAGCCACCATTCCTGATCCTGCGTCTAAAACTACTGATGCGACGCCTGCCACTCACCCCAATCCTGCCTACATCTCGTGGTATCAAACCGATCAATCTCTCATCAGTCAGCTTCGTGCCACTCTTTCGGAATCTGTTCTTTCTCAAGTTGTTGGTCTTGACACCTCCCAGGCTATTTGGGACTCTTTGGCCCGAAATTTCTCTCAATACTCTGTTGCCAACTCTGCTTAGTTGAAGATGCGCCTCATGTCGATCACCAAAGGCTCCCAGACTATCTCTGAATATCTCAATCTTGCCAAAGCACTTGCTGATCAACTTGCTGCCATTCAAGACCCCGTCTCTCCTACTGACTTGGTTACGTATGTTCTTCGCGGCTTGGGCCCTGACTATAGCACTCTAGTCACTGCTACTCTCTTCTTCCCACCTCTTCCTTCCTTCCCGGATCTTCGCACTCGTCTGCTCTCTTTCGAAGCTCAACAAGCCATGACCGCTCAATTGTTCTCGCCTCCTCAACCCTCTGCTTTTGTTGCATCTCAGCGGCTTCCTAGTTCTCCTCGTGGCTCCACTCCTCGTCGCTCCACCAATTTTCGGTCTTCTCATCCGCGTGGGTCCCAATTTGCTGCCCCTCACCGGCCTCCTACCTATCGCTCTTCATCCACCAATGCCAATGGTATTTTGGGTCCTGCCCCATTCTCTCGTGCGCCTCGTCAATGTTGGACTTGCCAACAGTTTGGTCATCTTGCTGCTCAATGTCCACAAAATACGGATTTGTCGGCACCTTTGCTGGCCTCCATGTCAATCACCCCACCGATTCCGCTTGGTACATGGATTCCGGCGCCACCAATCATATGACTCATGCCACTCCCTCTATTTCCTCCAATGCTTCTTCTGACCACGTTGTTGTTGGTAATGGTGCCTCTCTTCCTGTTACTCAATCCGGTAACATATCCTTTTCTTCTGGTAATTTTGTTTTCCGTCTCTCTGACGTTCTTCATGTTCCTTCCCTCTCTAAAAATCTTATGTCTGTTGCTCAACTCACTCGAGATCTTCTTGTATGTATTACTTTTTATCCTTGGGGTTATCGTATTTGTGACTTACACTCAGGAAAAATTCTTTTTCAGGGCCAATGTAAAGATGGTCTATATCCTGTCCTTCCATATCCTGTTTCATCTCTTGGGTCTCCGCATGCTCTCGTCTCCGCTGTCAATTCATCTTCCATCTGGCATCGTTGTCTCGGACATCCTTCTGATCGTGTTCTTGGCACTCTTGTCACTCAATCATTATTAGGTTCTAGTTTTTCTTTGAAATCAAATAAATGTACTCATTGTGCACTTGCTAAATCTACTCGTCTTTCTTTTCTGTCACACGATCATTGGTCCCATGCTCCATTTGAGTTAATACACTCTGATGTTTGGATGTCTCCTGTTGTTTCTGTCTCTGGATTTCGGTATTATGTTCTGTTTACGGATGATTACACTCGTTACACGTGACTTTTTCCTATGCGTCAGAAATCAGAAGTTTTCTCCCATTTCTCTACCTTTGTGACTTATGTGCACACCCAATTTTCATCTCCTGTAAAACAATTTCAAAGTGATGGTGGCAAAGAATTTGATAATTTGCAATTCAAAATTTTTTGTTCTCAACAGGGCATTATCCACCGGTTCTCTTGTCCTCATACCCCACAACAAAATGGCCTTGCCGAAAGAAAACATCGTCATATCGCTGACATGGGTCGCACTCTCCTTCAGACATCCCAAGTCCCTCTTAACCTATGGGTTGAAGCTTTTTGTACCGCTGTCCATTTAATCAATCGCCTTCCAACTCCAACCCTTAAATGGGTCTCTCCATTTTTTAAACTATATGGCAAACACCCTGATTACTCCCTCCTTCGTACATTCGGTTGTGCTTGTTTTCCCTACCTTGGGGATTATGTTTCTAACAAATTACAACCTCGTTCTTTGACTTGTATTTTTGTAGGTTATCATGATCACTATCGTGGCTACAGGTGTCTTCATCTTCCCACAGGCCGCCTATACACGCCTCGTCATGTCGTGTTTCATGAAGAATCATTTCCTTGTGCTGTTTCCTCATCTTCCCAGCCAACAACTCCAGACATTGCCTTTGTTCCTGTTGGGCCTCCATCACTCCCTCTTATTTCTGACGGGCCTTCATCACACCCTGCCCAGCCTGGCCCAAACTTGCCCCCACTGCCTACACCAATTAATCCAGTTCAGCAAGTCGCTATGTCTCCAGCGCCTTCTCTCTTTGAAGCCGCATCACCTGCGACATCTCCAGCGCCCTCGTCTCTAGCACCTTCTCTCTCTGCAGACCCGTCTTCAGCCACGTCGCCTCCTCCGTCGCCCAGCCCAATCCCCCCTTCTCCTGCCCCCATGGGTCGCACCACCACCCCAGCTGTGGCTCCACTACCTTCATTGACGCTCTCCGACATGCCTATCTCATCTTCCGTACCAGAGCCACCTCCTCCTCTTGGTCGCTCCAGTCCAATTCAAACTCGTTCTCGCTCTGGCATCTTCAAACCAAATCCGAAATTTCAGTCCAACTTTTCCGCTTGCTACCCCATTCCACATGCCCTCATGGCCTCTGTTGACTCAGAAATTGAACCCACTTGCTACACAAAGGCGTCCAAGTCTTCACACTGGCGGCACGCCATGCTTGATGAGTTCAATGCCCTTCTTCGCCAAGGCACATGGTCTCTTGTACCATCTTCTCCTCATCACAACACGGTTGGCTGCAAATGGGTATTCAAAATCAAACGTCGCTCCGATGGATCGCTCGAACGGTATAAAGCACGTCTTGTTGCCAAAGGATTCCATCAGCCATCCGGGATCGATTATTTTGACACATTCAGCCCGGTGGTCAAGCCGACCACTATTCGCACCGTTCTGAGCATTGCGGTTTCATGTGGTTGGGGGATTCGTCAACTTGATATTAAAAATGCTTTCTTGCACGGTTATCTCTCTGAGGCAGTTTTTATGCAACAACCACCTGGCTTCATTGATCCTCAACGACCCACTCATGTCTGCAAACTCCATAAGGCCATTTATGGTCTTAAGCAAGCTCCCCGCGCTTGGTTTCAGAGGTTTGGTAACTTTCTCCTTCAAGCTGGTTTTATTCAAAGTCGTTCTGATTCCTCCCTGTTTGTGTATCGGGATGGCCTGTCTATAATGATTTTACTTCTCTACATTGATGATATTGTGCTCACTGGCAATACACCCTCTCACTTCTCTGCTTTTATCCATGCTCTTGGTATTGAATTTGAGGTTACTGATCTTGGCACACTCAATTACTTCCTTGGCATTGAAGTCTCCCATTTGAAGGATTCTGTTCACCTAACACAAAATAAATATACTCTTGATCTTCTCCGGAACAGCAACCTTCTCGAGTGTAAACCTGTCTCCACTCCCATGGCCTCCCGCACATCTGCTTCTCGCACTGATGGGTCTCCCCTTGCTGATCCAACTCCTTATCGCCAACTCGTGGGTGCTCTTCAGTATCTCAACATCACTCGCCCAGATATCACCTATGCTGTCCAACATGTTTCTCAATTCATGAGTTCTCCCAGTGATACACGTTTGGAAGCTGTAAAACGCATCCTTCGCTACCTCAAAGGAACTCTTGGTCATGGCCTCTCTCTTTGCCGCTCCCCTGATCCTTCCCTTCTAATTGCCTACTCGGATGCTGATTGGGCAGGGTGTCCCGACACCCGTCGATCAACAACAGGGTATTGTATTTTTTTGGGACCCAATCTTATTTCTTGGAGTGCTAAGAAACAACGCACAGTTTCTCGCTCCAGTGCCGAAGCGGAGTACCATGCGCTGGCCTATGCATGTGCTGATACTATTTGGATCCAAGGCCTTTTACGTGAGCTTCGGTACCCTCTCCCTCAACCAGTAATTCTTAATTGTGACAACCTTTCTGCTACTTACATGGCTGCTAATCCGGTCTTTCATTCTCGCACTAAACATATTGGCCTCGACTATCACTTTGTTCGTGAGCGCATTGCCAGTGGCAGTCACCAAGTTAAATTTATTCCCTCTACACAAATGAGGCTCGAAGCCCTTCTATTAGGAAATATGCACTACAAAGCCAACTACACCACACACAGTTTTGTGATAATATGCAATACGCTAAAATATATATACCATCTCTATAATATTAATATATAATGTTAGGGAGTTACACCAGTAACCCCCCAATCAATGACACCCATTCAATATAATCTGTCACAGCTTTCAGTTATAGAATTAACTCTGTAATTTACTCTGTAATTAGTATAGGACTGTTACCCGAGCAATACCTGTATAAATATTGTATTCCTGTATAGTTCAATATTATTGGAATATAAGCCTTTTCTACATATAATATAAAGAATTTTTAATTCAGGGGCCCTGTGTGGTGGCGCCACTTGCACTACCCCAGGCCACCCCTGGTGATGGTCTAAATTATTAAAGAAATATTCAAACTTGATTGCAAAGAACACAAATTTAAGTGCAAATGAGTAGACTGTCTTATTACGAGTGCAAATAATAGTCTAAATTATAAGAGAAATATTCAAATTTTAGTGCAAAGAAGTGTACTCACTGTGTTATTGTGAATATTCGAGCTCAATGCTTCCTTTTCGATTAAAAAAAAAAGAAGCTCAATGCTTCCAAGCTATTGTCCCTATACTATAGAAAAGCTCTTTAGAGTCCTCATCTTCCTCTTGCCTTCATTGTAGCACGTGTGTGGCCCTATAGAAAAGCTAATGTCCCTATACTATAAGGACCATGCGGGCAAATAAATGTAGTGTTTGTCTCTAACAGGTATGGATGATAAATGTAATGTTTATCTCTAACAGGTCAAGCTGCTTGTTTTGTGTTACGAGGTCTGGTTTTCTCAACAAACTATACTGCTTGACCCAAAAGAAAATGCAATATCATGTGGATCCTCATTTCCCAGTTACAGGATGGTTGTGAAAATAGAAGCTAACTCTGGACAACATAATATTCAAAAGAAAATGCAATATCATGTGGATCCTCATTTTGCAGTTGCAGGAGGATGGTTGTGAAAATATAAGAGCTAACTCTGGACAACATGATATTTTCAGGTAAAACTTTGAGGTGTACGGTGAGAGAGATTGAGACCAAGGGGACTCACGACTAATAAATCATAGTGTCCTTCTAAAGCACAAGTAGTATAATACAAGCTTCATCCACAACCAACTTGCATGG